CAAACATGACAGGAATTTTAAAGACGATAGGGAACATTGTTATGCTCTGATGGCCCAAATGGACGAAGTTATGCAACAATTACGGAATCAAAATCATCATGACACTCAAGTGTTGGAAGCTCGAAATCAGCAAATCGGGCGTTTACTTCAGGAAAAGGGTATTGTCCGAGAGAGGGTTAGAGCCATTGCCTACTATATCGTCATGAAATGCCATGCATGTGAGGATATGACTCAGACCACTTTCTTCGCTGCTGTAATGACATTTGTCTGCCAGATAATGATTGATTTGGAGCGGCTTCAAGGGTATCTCGCACGTAGGCCCGTGAGACCGAATGATGTCCCACGGGCCCCAGGAGTCTAAGAATTGATGTATTCATGATTTTTCATTTATTGAGTCTGTATTTTGGAAATTATTTTAGAGTCTGTTGGTAGTTTTTAAAAATTCCAAGAAAATGAGTAATTGAAAGTCTTTTGTAATAGAAAGTTTAGGAGTTTTATTAATGAAAATTTTGAAAATTCCCAAAAATTGTTTCTTTATTTTTCGCATTTGTTTTTCTTGAACTACGTAATGATCTGATTCACGCGGCATCGTGATACGTAGGCAATCCTCATCGGATCCGGTCACATTTTTGTAAATAACTCAAATAAGAGAGGGATGTGAAAAAGAGAGCCAAAGAAAAACCAAAAGAAAAACGAAAAAAAAGCAAGGAAAGAGAGGAAAGAAAAGAGTGGAAAATAGGAATAAGAGGAGAAGTACAAAAGCCAAAAGTGGAAAGAAAAAGAAAATTGGGGAAAATAAGCAGAGCCGGGATGAAACATGCAACCGTTGCGAAACATGTAGAAACACATTTAACTGTATAGGTGCATCACACCCCAACGTGCGATTACCTATGTGTTAATTGCTTCAAACTGACCGGTTTGTTGTTTACTGTTAGTTAGGTTCTATAGTAAGGTGGTTGGTTTTGTGGTAGTCTGGCTTCACATTCATACTTCACAAGGTCAAAAGGAAGCATTGAAATGTCTTCGGAAATTCCTCTGCCAACAGTTCCTATTCCAGAGGATAGTCCGATCTCGACCATCCCAACTTCTGAGTCAGCAACTGCTGAGGAAAATAGAATTTTGCGTCTCCGTATGATGGAAATGTGGGACGACTGGGCCAATGGAAAAGAACCACTAAGTGCGATCCCTGGATTCCCTGAGCTTTTTCCCAGGACAATTGGGACTTCCAACATCCCCATGAGTTATCCAAATACCCCACTGGGATATCCTACCATTTCAGCCCACTTTGCTGGAACACCTTCTGAGTCTCGTCCCCAGGTGTTAGCTTCAGGTGTAGCTTCAACCATATTCACCGCTCCAGCTTGTTCAGCTATGGCACAACCTACTTTACCCAGGACTAACTTCGATTCATCTTCCTTCACATTTCAAGCACCATTTTTCCCACTGGAACCTACCCAGTTTACTACCAATGCTTACCCTCAGCCGCCCTGGTACGAGTTTACCACAGGGCAGGAAAAGGCCAAAAAAACACCTGAACAAGAGGAAATTACCAGAAAGATGAGAAGTATGGAGCAAAGTCTCAAAAATATATAGGGTCTGTATGGGAAAAAGAACGTATCTTACGCTGACCTGTGCATATTCCCGCACGTACATCTACCCTTGGGTTTCAAAACCCCAAAGTTTGAAAAATATGATGGGCATGGGGATCCCATTGCCCACCTCAAACGGTACTGCAACCAGTTGCGGGGCGCGGGCGGAAAAGAAGAGCTTTTTATGGCCTACTTTGGAGAGACTTTGGTCGGCATTGCTTCTGAATGGTATATGGATCAGGATATATCTCGTTGGCATAACTGGGACGACTTGGCTCGGGATTTTGTCAGGCAATTTCAATATAATATCGACATTTCCCCTGACAAAAATTCATTATCAAATCTAAAGAAGAAGTCCTCGGAGAGCTTTCGAGAGTATGTTGTCAAATGGCGCGAACAAGCGGCCAGAGTCAAGCCTCCAATGGACGAAACAGAAATGGTCAGTGTCTTCCTTTAAGCCCAAGAGGCTAATTATTATCAACATGATGTCTGCAATGGGAAAGCCGTTTGCCGAAGCCATCAAAATCGGTGAAATGGTTGAGAATGGGTTGAAAACAGAGCGAATCTTGAGTCAGTCTGCTATAAGGGCTATCTCCTAAGCAATCCAAGGCGGGTCTGGAGAATTAGCAAACCGAAAGAAGAAGGAAGAAGTAGCAATGTCAACTTCAAGTGTAAGAAAACCCCGTTCGGCCAGACTTCATTTCTCTGAAAGAACCCCACAACACTACTACCCCCATCAAGATGTGGCCTATGCTATGGATCTTCAACCACATGCAGTGATGAATGCATAACCATACGCTAGGCCATAACAACAATTTCACCAAAACCGAGCTCAATTTCCCAGAAATCAACTTCCTCACCAAGCTCAGTATAATCCCCGACCTCCACAAAATAATTTTCCCTACAATGCCCGTGCTCGGGAACCGCCTAGGAAGACGAACTTCACACCTATTGGTGAGTCATATTCTAGCCTTTTCCCTAAATTGGTCCAAATGGGTTTGTTACAACCCGTACCCCAAAATAGGCAAAACCCAGAGTCACCTTCTTACCAACCTGGCGCTCGATGTGCCTATCATTCTGGGGTGGAAGGGCATGACACTGAGAGCTGTTGGACTTTGAAAAGGGTTGTTGAAAATCTCATAGAACAAAAGCGGATAGTGTTAAAGGATGAAGACATTCCTAATGTGACCAACAACCCGTTACCGGCTCACAACAATGGACCGGTTATTGGAATGATCTGTGAAGATAAAGAGTTTGATCCTGCCTTGAAAGCCATCATTGCAATCGCTGACATCGAGAAAAAGCCAAAGGCTGATGCAAAGCAAGAAAAAGGGGAGAAAAAGAGTAAACCCACCCCTCAAAACACAAAAAAAACAGTGGAAACCAAAACTGAGGTAGTACCCTCGAAAGATGTCATCCTTTATGTGCCACGGGGTCCTAGGAAAGGACAAGTGACATTGAGCCCTTCAAGAAGGTTTGAGCTGAACAAAGGATCTAAAATGTATGTGCCAAAAGGGACCTATGTGGTACGGAGGCCAATAATTTCACCAAGGCTGAATGAGCCAGTGGTTATTGGCCGCGCACCGCAGAGGCCCATGACAGATCCTACTGCCATCCCATGGAATTATAACGAGGCGGTAGTAACCTACAAAGGAAAAGAAGTCCTGGAGAAGTAAATGAAACTAACCCGGCTGAGAAATACCTCAATCTGGAGGAAGTGAATAATGCTACGAAGAAGCGTTTCCCACTCAAGAAGCCAGTTAGTGCCAAAGAAGCAGAAGAGTTCTTTAGGAAAATGAAAACTGCGGACTACGAGATAATTGACCAACTCCGAAAGTCTCCTGCTCAGGTCTCTTTGTTGTCTCTATTAATGAATTCAACTGAACATCAGAAAGTATTGATCAAAACCCTCAATAAAGCTTACGTTCCGATTGAAATTACTGTGGAACAACTGGAGAGGATGGCAGAAAAATTCTTCACAATCAATCAGATCTCCTTTAGCAAGAATGACCTGCCCCCGGAGGGGGTCACCCACAATAAAGCCCTCCACTTAACAGTTAAATGTGAGGGGTACTATGTGAAGAGAGTCATGCTGGATGGCGGTTCCGGAGTAGATATCTGCCATCTCTCAATTCTGCAAAGAATGAAGAACGAGACTGAGAGAATCAGGCCCAACAACGTCTGTGTTCATGCCTTTGATGGCATCAAAAGAGACCATAGGCGAGATCGATTTGATTTTCACTATTGGACCTGTGGATTTTGAGGTGACCTTTCAAGTCCTAGACATGGATACTTCTTATAATTTCCTCTTGGGAAGGCCTTGGATTCATGCGGCAGGAGCAGTACCTTCCACTCTCCACCAGATGGTGAAATTGGAATATGAAGATCAGGAGATCATAGTCCACGGAGAGGATGAGCAATCGATCTATCGGGACCCGTCGGTCCCATGCCTCGAAGCTAGGGAAGGTAGTGAACATATAGTCTATCAAGTTTTCGAGGTTGTGGTCGCAGACCAATATGAAGAAGGAAGCCCTTGCCCTCAACCTTTTCTCTTAAAAGCGTCAGTTATGGTTANGTTATGGTTGCCAAGGAAATGATCAGGCATGGTTATAAACCCGGGAAGGGGCTCGGGGCATCATTGCAAGGTATCACCGAACCTATCACCTTACTTGCCACCAAGAAGTTCTTCGGTGTGGGTTTTCACGCCACAAAAGCTGATGTGACGTGGGCAAATCAACGAAAGAGCAATGGTTGGGTTTTATCTCAGCCAATTTCGCATCTCTACAGAACATTTGTCAGGCCCAAGTACAATGAAGAAGAAGAAAATGAGGCCTTCACAGCCGAGGAAATTGAAAAAATTTGTGGGGCTATGAGGCAAATGCTGTATGAAACCCACATGGTTCAGCCGGGAGAAGGCTCAAGCACCGCTGAGGTGCTATATATGGGGCCCAATGCCAAGTTGCAAAACTGGAAGGCTACTCCGTTCCCAATCAGGCGAGAATCCCAGTAGTCCAGTCCTGCCACCTTTTCTGCATCACGAGTTATTTCAGGGTGTAACTTAGATGTTTTTCTTTTAGTTTCCTATCTTTAAATGCTAATGTAAACCCTGTTATTTTCAAAATTCAATGAAATGAAATTAATATTTCATCGTTCATCTCTCTTTATTCTTTCTGATTTTGTTACTTTTTCTTATTTCTTCTTTCAGTTCTAATAATGCGGCTTTAAATAGCATGACATGATTGCGGACTTCATGCCCAGATCCAAACATGCTGTCTAATTGTGAAATAATGAATCAAGAAATGGAATATGATGAAGAAGAGGTTTTTAAGGAATAAATCGAGAATTGGAACAATTTGATGGGAATTGTGAGCAGGCAGTGGCATGAAAATTTTCCACAGGCAGTGGAATTGTGAAATAATGAATCAAGATTTTGAGAAAGATGATTCAAAGTTCCAGGCAGTGGCATGAAAAGTTGTCGTTTGCATTATTGGGGTATTGCATTACTGTGCGCACATCGGTCGGAGCAATCCCGTACCTTTTGGTTTATGGGACGGAATCCGTAATACCCGCGGAAGTTGAAATCCCTTCTCTCCGGATCATTGTTGAAGCTGAAATTGAAGACTGTGAGTGGGTTAAAACCCATTTGGAACAGTAAACCCTGATCGATGAAAAGTGAATGGCTGCAGTCTGCCACGGGTAGTTGTATCAACAAAGAATGGCTCGTGCCTACAATAAGAAAGTGCGGCCAAGAAACTTTGAAGTGGGGCAACTCGTCTTAAGGCGTATTCTCCCCCATCATCAAGAAGCCATAGGAAAATTTGCTCCTAACTGGAAAGGCCCATACATCATCAGAAAATTGTTGCCAAAAGAGGCATTGTATCTAGGAGACAGCTGGACTCCTTATGGAAAAGGTACCAATTATGATTTTGGACATGAAAATGTAAGGAAAAAATTTCTTAAGGTTGGGAGAACCGTGTACTGAGAATTAGCTCAACTGCTTAGAGTACAACTGAATGGTTAAATTGGTGGTTAAAACAGTTTCTGTGTTTGTCTTGGAATTCTTTTACTGCTTTGTTGGTGGCTTAATTTTTGTACACAGTTGTTGCTAACCGCAAAACTTGATGCTTTTAGGAACTTCACTATCTTTCTAAACGTCTAGAAAAACCAGGGACGCCATTTGCTGCCATTGTTGGTGGATCAAAACTTTCAACTAAGTTTGACCTGATAGAAAGCCTTTTGGAGAAGGTTAACATTTTAATCCTTGGCGGAGGTCTGATCTTTACTTTCTACAAGGCCCAAAATTTATCTGTTGGATTCTCACTTGTAGAGGATCACATGATTGGTTCAGCACTGTCACTTATTTCGAAGGCAAAAAAAAAAGGTGTATCTATAATGCTTCCTGATGATGTAGTGATAGCCGACAAGTTTTCGCCTGCTGCTAAATCTGAGGTAAAATGGTTTGTGGCAATGTTATCTTGTCTACTTGTAGCAACTGTCTCTGACTTTTGATGGCTGATTCTTTTTTCCTTTTGCCTTTTAGGTTGTTCCATCAGCCAAAATTCCAGATAATCGGATGGGGTTAGATATTGGAAAACGTGCTATTTCGTCTTTTGAAGAACTAGAGACCGCCAAAACAATCCTTTGGAATGGACCTATGGGAGTGTCTGAGTATGACAAGTTTGCTACTGGAACTAAGGTATAAAATGAAGATTTTGTTTAGTTTTACCATGAGTTTAATTGATGTTTTGCATTTATATTTTCTTTCTTGGCGTATATTATCCAGGCTATTGCAAAAAAATTGGCAGAACTTAGTGGAACTGGAGTTGAAACAATTGTAGTGGGTAGCGATACTGTTGCGGCTGTTAGAAAGATGAGGCTTGCAGACAAGATGAGCCACATTTCAATGGGAGGGTTTGCCAGCTTGGAGTTTCTGGAGGGGGTACCGCTTCCTGGGGTGATGGCACTTGATGATGACACTATCGGGTAGAAGACGGGGCTCCCAGATGCGCCAGATGCTGCTGCACCTATCTATGTTGATAGCTTTGCTTACTAATCAGTTACTGGTTTTGTTTGTCCTATCTTATTATAATTTGAGGGTCGTACTAATCAGTTACTGGTTTTGTTAGTCCTATCTTATTATAGTTTGAGAGTAATTATGCGATGAGCGTCTTATTTTATTTCTAAGGGGTCGTTTGGTAGGGTATATAAGAATAATGCTGAATAGGGTGTATTAGTAATGCTGGTATTAGTTATGCTTACATTAGTTATGATGGTATTAGTTATGCTTACATTAGTTATGATGGTATTAGTTATGCTGTCATATTTCTTATCCATTGTTTGGTTTGATGTATTAAAGCATTGCACAGTTTCTAAAAGAATTATTTGTTTTCAAAAATGCCCTCAAAACTAGTCCACACTCTAATTTTTTAAAAGAAACATATGTTGAGAAATGTTTTTATATGAATAAGTTTTAAAAAAATTATTTTATTTGTCTACCTATATTGTAAAATAAAATTAAATATTTATTTATAAAAAAAGAAATATGCTATGTATTTATTTATTTACTAGGGATATAATTTTATTTCTCACTATTTGGATTATTTTGAACTTGCATTAATATACTAACTAGCATAATTTAATCAAACATAAATTTTGAATGACAATTTTGTCTTTAACTAAGCTAATGCATGCATTAAAACTCATTGCATTGCTAATACCATTGTTTTTTATGCATTAGTTATGCCTAGCATAATACCAAATAGGATGTATAACTAATGCATAAGTTCAAAATGTCTACCAAACAATGTATTATTAATACACAGCTAATGCATGCATTAGCTTATCTAATGCATCCTGCCAAACGACCCCTAAGTGTGTATTGATGTTGCGTATTCACAGAAACTTAGACTACTTGGACTACTCGACCCGTCATCTGCTGTATTGATGTTGTGTATTCACAGAAACTTAGACTACTTGGACTACTCGACCCGTCATCTACGTAGAACTAAACTTGAAGGTTTGGATAGCTTTCTCTTTGAGACTATGAGTGATTGGCTTAATGCAATTCAAAGAATTCTTGTACGGTTTTTGCTTGTTCTCAATGGATGCTCCAACAGCTGCTATTCCCCAGCTATCGGCGAGTTGAATTTGATTATACCAAGATTAACATCGGATAAGTATGACCACGCTATTCATACTAAACTTGCTTATACCAGACTAACATCGAGTAAGTATGACCTACTATCCATATTAGCATTAAGCAAGTTTGAGTGTGTGCGCAAACCATTTACGTACTAATTTCAGATTTTGGTTGCACTGTGTTAGCTAAGATTTGTGTCAAAAGGAGAGGTTATATTTACGTGAAAGGAAAATAGGAAGAAGTTTATTGTCCAATTAGTATTTCGTTTGTATGAGCCTGCAGTCTTGTGTAAAAGAGATTGCAGTTCCGAAGTAGATGGCGCGGGTTGACCGCTTTGAGGCTTGGCAGGCTGGCATTTCCTTCAACAGCTCAGGGGTGTTTTTAAATCGTTGGAATCGTCTTTTTCCATTTTTTCAATAAACTAGTAAGGGGATCCTGGGCTTTACTCGGGCCCAACAAGAACAAAGTCATATATATATACACTAGTTGGAGAAGCCCGGGTCGCCCCGGGCCCAATTCCCACTAAATAGCCAGTTAAATTGATAGTCTTGAAACCTGACATCTAATTTATTCCTGTAGTACGTCGAGCTTTGTAAAGACTGAAATTTTTGTTCTTTAAGCCATCTCAATTGACTCTACTCACTTCGGAAGCTCTTCATTTCACATCGAAAACTACGGCATGACTCTATTGAGGATTTTTATATGCTATGTAAATGTGTTCAACTATGATCTATTTTTAAGTGTGTAAGTGAAAACAAGAGAAAGTTATATAAATTCCCAAGTACTTAATTTATGTACTCATGATTTAAAAATATATTAGTATAAAAAATTTTTATGCCGGCAAATACATGATGTGAAAACTTTAAACAAATTACATACAGAAAAAGAATTTTTTTTCAGAAAATCATACTCCTGGCGAGCTGTTCATTTGGTAGAGATTAATGTAACATCTACCGTTCTAACTGCAGTAAGTACAAATTGAAGGAGACAAAACTTAAAGCAGAAAATTGAATGTTCCTTCATTTTGTTTTCCCTTTAATTGTATTCTTTCGTTTTCTTGTTTCTTTTTCTGGACGAAGAAACAAGAAAGGACCATGCATGTATACACCAATTCAGTTGAGCTGAATTATCAACATTAGGACAAGAAAAACAAAAAAAGATGTATATAATATATGAAAACAAAACTATACAATAACATGAAGGAATGAAAGCACGGCCAAACTAACTCAGAGTTTTTCAATCCATAACATCCATTTTGGAGTAGGAAAATACAGTCAATAGAGCAACAAGAAGAATGACCCCATCTTTCAGAAGGATGAACACTCATCACCCTTGGATATAACCACATCACCTTGTTATTCTTCAGTTGTACTACTTCTCCACCTAAAGATCCCATTTTATATTTTTCTCTTAATCTCTTTTAGTTCAAAAGCTTCAAAATATAATGGAAGAAAAAAAAAAGATGGTTATATTAAATGAATATAAGAACAATCGCAAAAGATTTGAAGGGAACAATCATGGCTGCCTTGAAAAAGCATACCACAATCATGGCTGCCTTAACCATTTTATCCTACACATATGAAGGGAACAAGCCGCACACCTACTCCATACCTTGAATAGAATAAGCAAATAAAATAACAAGACATGTAATGATAAAAGATTATAATGTAATTAACAAGGAAAAAAGTTCTGCTCCTAGATTATTCAGATCATGTAATTAAGAAGGAAAAAAGTTCTGGTCCCGTTTTATTCAAATATCTTAAGCAAAGTACAAACATATAATATTACATAACAAAAGCTATGTATGAACCAATAAATACAATAATGTTAACTGTATAACCAACTATTGGTACTCTAGTAATACTTTCTTATTCCAGCGCTTGTCCGTGAACACAAGACAACACAAGATTTGACCCCATATTGCGATCATCGTTTGTCGAGGGGAAGTGAAGACGGAATTTCAGCAGCAAAAAGACGTTGATTATCACTCAAATTACCTTTTTATACTCCGATAGCGTAGTGTTGTTGGACGATAAGGGCGTAACACACGCGCAGCCTTCTAATATGATCCTTGTTACAATAAAATTTTCATCAGAAGTTCTGTCAAAATATAACACATTTCTTTCTTACTTTGGTGGTGGTAAGGTGTTATATTCTTTTACTCCCAGTAATTTTCTCTTATTACATATTTTACCTGGCAACTGTACCGCATGACTGTCAACTTCCCTAATGCTTGGTAGTTGTGAAGGCATGCCTAATAAGAGATGATAAATTTAAGAATATCAAGAGGAAAATAAGTGACAAGATTCTCCATACAAATGAATTTATGCCCATCCCCAACTGATTCTTTTTATCCTGACAAAGTCCCAGTTTGCATATACAACAAAATCTCAAGTAGAATGTTCAATAACTTACCAACAACATGAAGCCCTAGGCAATTCAAATCTCAAGAATTTTCATCTCCACAGTGAACTGCAACCAAGGTTATAGTGTCTACCCCAATAGATTGAAATACCGAAGTATCATGTACTTTAGAAAAGTTAATCAATTTATATAGTTGACAAATGTAAGTAGACATGTTAAACACACACGTACAGTCTTTGCATCATATCCATTGTTTATCCCACTTTATAGAACAAGTATAAATGGACATATCTGGAGAACACTCACATCCAAGTAACTAAGTTCAGGGCATTCTCTTGCGATGGCTATTGTTTCAACATCCCCAATTTGGTGGGAGCCACTTACATTCAAATGATATAGAGAGCAACCTTTAGTAATAGCCACAAGTGTTTTATTCCCTACGTTGGTAATCAAATAGAGATTAATGACTTATTTGAGCCAAAATATCAGTAATCAGGTAGCTAATAACGAGCATTTGGTTAAAAAAAAGTTTAAACTATCTCCGGTGGAAGAATATAACTGGTGAATATTAATGAAAGAGAAGTTGTGAAGGCAAGGACCAACTAAATATAATTATTTGTCAAACGTCGTAATATGGAACATATCCAAGGGACTCAGCCAGGTAGGATTAAAAGAAGATGAAAATTGTGCCTAGACAAACTCAATCTTCAATGGACAAGCAACCATTTGCAGCAGCAGAGGCAGCTATACAAATAAAACCATGTCCAAAAGGATAAATGCTCATTTCAAAGAGCATTGAAGAATAGATTTATATGACAATTGAAGAAGAAAGTAATGCAAGCATGGGAGAGGTTGTCCCCAATCTTATCAAGACACTTGATTGAGACACAAACTAAAACTAAGGTAACATTAGTTGAGAAAGAAAAAGTCACATACTTATCACAAAACCAAAGGCTAAGATCTGTAATTTTTTTACAGTTCTCACCAACAACTATAATTCCCTTATTTCCAGCATATCAACTCAGATAAGAAGACATCTATTATCAAACAAAATAATTGAATTTCAGGCATCATTTACGAAGGATATTGCACAAGCCAGATTTCACTAATAAAAGATTTAGGGATAATTAACAGCTGTTGGAAACAAAAATCGCTTTCCATATCGGATACAAATAATGCACATGTCTCTACAGGAAACCCATTCCACAGCTAAAATGGTTCTAGGAAAAAAGTATAATAGAAAAGCTTGTCTAAAAGATTGACCAGCTAATGGGTCAATTACAAGCATGAAATATTTAAAAATATTACCAAGCAAACGAAAGAAAAGGATAGCTGTCAGATTTAACTCCAAACTCCAAATCATATACTATTTTGAATTCATTAAGCAATGATCTTACATGGTTTATAGAGTTAATCTTAGTTGTATAACTTTTATCTCAGTTGCAAATGAGCATTTCACGTCTTTCTGTTTTTGTAATTATATCCGCCATAAGTAACCAAAATAGAAAACATTGATGCAAACTTAAATAATTCTGTAGCTGATTAGTAAATATGTTGGGTTGATTTCAGACATGACGATAATATCTTTTGACTTTCAAAAATTAAGTTTGAACTGAATAAGTAAATGACCAAGCGTAACACAAGATTCCAAGTAACTTTAGGAAAATATTGAAATAACAAGATATAACCAACTGGTAAAATAAGTAGATGATCAATTATATTTGATCAAATAAGATCTTATAAGCATTAA